GAGACAAGTCCCTACTTGGGAGCGGCTACGTATGCTGTGTTTTTGGGAAATTGTAGTCGGTGAGTTTACTACTTTATACTACATCTGTGATATTACTACTACTTCTACTTCCTGTTATCTTCTTCGTCATCGTCTTTTTCACCARTAGAAACAGCCGGTTGTTGATCACGTGACTCCCGTGATGCGAAAAAAGTGTTTCCATTGCAGTTTTGCGAAAAACACCAATTTCGATACGACCGAAAAACCACCTCATCCTAGCGCAAAAACATTTTGTCGAAAAAACTTATTTTTTCCGAAATTGACGTGTTTCCATTGAGCAAATTTATTTTCGAAATTCTAATTTGAGCATTTTCATGATCAATGGAAACGCAGGTACTGAGTGAGAAGTATTGTTAAGAGCAGAAGACAGTTAAGTTTCACTTTCACTTTGCTCTGTTACTGCCGAGAGCCTGAAGGAGTCATGGGCGGGGTGTGTGGGGAGGTGTGCTCCGTGATGAGGAAGTTCGGCTTAAAGACACGTCCCAGAGGTGTTTCTGGTACCAAAAGGAGTTCCTGGTCCCCACCTGTCATTTTGCTCCTCAGCATGGCTTCATAAAAACACTGCTGGATTTCTCAAACATGATGAATGAGTCAGAGCAAGGCTTTGGACATGTTTTTTAATGAGAGTTTAACATTATAACATGATATAAAACTCAAAGTTGATTTTACATGATATTGCCCCTTTAAATAAAAAGTTCAGTGAATCTACACGGTTTCATGTTTGGACTTTAATTTAAGGTCAGTTTGTCAACATCAGCTGAAACAAACTTCTACGAATATCGAGCTGAAATTTGGTGCCGTAGTAGCAGAAAGTCATCCTCAAAGCTTAAAACAAGATTTTTTTTTTTGTTAAAAATAAAAAAATCACAGAAATGCAGTCCGGTTCAGATTAGGATCTTTGTTTTTAAAAGTATCTTTTCACACCAGGGTCATGACCTTCAGAGAGGCCGGCTGGAACCGCCGGATCTTCTTCTTCAGGGCCCGGGAGGCTTTGATGCGGCAGGTGGATGGCCCGGGGCGGGGCGGGGGCTGGTGGGGGGGCCCCGGCGAGGCCTCGGCCCACACCAGACCCTGCTGCTCCTCCTCCTCCTCCTCCAGGCTGCTGTCGGAGTCCGAGCAGGACCGGAGGCTCCGGCTGGACTCGCTGTCCCCGAAGCGGTTGGTGGTGTTGTCGCTGGTCTCCCCCTCGCTGCTCTCAACGATGGTGGAATGAAAGAGCGAGGGGCACTCGGCCGAGTACTCGGACTCGCACCTGGGGGGGTACGGGCCGGACGCGTGGACCGGTGCTGGGGGATAGCCTGAGTTCAGAGTGTGGAGGAAAGTACCGGAGAACACGGGGAACTGGAAGGGCTGCTGTGGTCCAACCCAGTGTCCGGACTTGGCACTGACGCTGCAGACCATCTGGACGCTCTCCGAGGCCTGGAGGCGGGACTCTTTGGACCTCTGGACGTAGGGGGTGTGGCTTATGTCCATGTCAGACTGCCATTTGGCCGCAGCCTGCCTCCTCCTCCGCTCCGCCGGGTGTTCGTACTCCAGGCACCGAGGTCCACAACTTTTACCGAGCTTTCCAAAAGCAGGCACAGAACCACTTTTGGGTTGGACCTTGAGTCCGGAACCGTTGGACGCGAGTTCTGGACAGGCGTTGGCTCGGTTCGTGGCTCTCCCCCTCCCSTTGGCCTCGGCGCCGCTCCTCTTGGCGTTGAGGCCATGTTGGTGTTTCGTCGCTCGAGGTTTGGCGCCGCCGCTCCTCGGCCTTAGCTTCACGGATTTGGTTCTACGGTCCGCTTGTCTCCTCTGGGAACCGGCGGGGACAAACATGGCGTGGACTAACTCAGGCGAGCCAAAGCTTTGGGTAATTCCCGGGTTTTGTTGCTCTCGTGGCTCTAAATACAACTTTTTATGGGAATGGCTCCGTGCCACTGTAGCGTTCTCTCTTTGGGGTTTCTGGTTTTTCTTCAGGGACGAACAGGCGACCTGGTTGGACCTGTAGTCCTTGGCGGCAGCAGAGTACCGATTGAGACCATCTGGTTTCTGGTTCGTTTTGTTCATTGGTTCTTGGCTGGAGCTCCGCMTCTTCTGGTCACTGATTGGTGGAACAGCGTTGTTAGTTTTGGCTCGTGAAGGCGGCAGCATGGACGCACATTTCTGAGATGCTTCAGGAACATTTCTGGTGGACTTCACGTCGCAGCAGTCCTCCGGTTTCATCGTGTCTTTGTGGATTTTGCTCAAGCTGCGCTGCAGGAGCTTGTCGAAGTAGCTCAGGGTTCTGGACCCCGTTTGGACGGAGTCGTAACAGTTTTCAGGGGCACCCAGACCCTCTAGAAGACCAGGTTTATCAGCTTCACCGCCTCGGAGGAGGATCTGGTTCTGGAGAGTCACAGCATGAAGGGGGCTGGGGTACTGGTACACCTCAGTCCAGCTGGGAGGCTCCAGGAGAAAACTTCGAGGTTTCTTTGCCTCAGCAGATTTAAAACAGCCCAATCCTTGAGTCAACATTTTGTCGAGATCACCTGATAAACAAAAAGCAATCAACCWTCAGGTTATATGGTTCTTATTGCTGCATCAGAGCTTTAAAACATAACATACTGTTAAACTAGCTTTTTACTAGCTTTAGCCTTTTTCAAGCTTTTTGCTACTTTAGCTTTGAGCTGTTTGTTGCTACCTTAACTTTTAGCTAGCCTTATTTTACTTTAGCTATTAGCCAGCCTTTTGAAACTTTTAGCTAACATTTTGGTACTTTAGTTTCTAGCTTCTCTCCTGTACTTTAGCTTTTTTGCCACCCTTATTACACCTGCTGTATAGCTACTTTTAGCCTCTAAAATTTAGCTTTTAGCTACTACTTTTCCTACCTTAACATTTTTCTAGCCWTATGTTAATTTTAACTAGCATCTTGCCTGCTACCATAGCATTTAGGTTCTTGTTTAATACTGATTCTAGCAACACTCTCTTTTCGCTAACCTTTTGCCACTTTAGTTTCTAGCTTGACTTTTGCTCCTTTTAACCTTTAGCAAGCCTTTATACAAACTTTAGCTTCTATCTACTATCTTAACTTCAACTCAGTTTATTTATATAACGCCAAGTCTTTTCCTACTTTTCACTTGTGTCTTGCTACTTTTAGTTTTCAGCTTTTAGGTAGMCTTTTACTAATTTAGCTAATAGCTACTTGTTTGATAACTTTAGCTAGCTTCCTGGTACTTTTTGATAACCTTATGTTATTTTAGTTTTTTGCTCAACTCTTGCTGATTTTAACAAGCTTTTGCTACTTTTAGCCTTTAGCTTTTAGTTAATAGTTTACTTGACTAMTTTACTTTATAGCTACACTTTTGAAATTTATCTAGCTTTCCAATACTTTCAGATAAACTTTTGCTACTTGCAGTTTTTGGCGTGACTTTTTTAACAAGCCTTTGTTACTTTTAGCCTTTAGTCAGCCTTTATATCCTTTAGCATCTAGCTACTCTTTTGCTCTCTAAACTTAAAGCTAGCCTTTTATTACTTTTCACTTGTGTCTAGCTACTCTGTTTTCAGCCATCCTTTGGAACCTTATAGCTAGCCTTTTGCTAATTTAGCTTCTAGTCTGCTACTTTAGCTTCTAGCAAGCATTTTAGTAACTTTTTGGTTTTAGTTAGTGTTCTGTTTCTTTTAGCTTTAATAAGTGAACTGTTAGCTTCAGTAGCTTTAGCTTCCAGCACTGTGTGTTTTAGCTTTAAGAAGTGAACTGTTAGCTTTGTTAGCTTTAGCTTCCAGCACTGTGTGTTTTAGCTTTAAGAAGTGAAACGTTAGCTTTGTTAGCTTCAGCTTCCAGCACTGTGTGTTTTAGCTTTAAGAAGTGAACTGTTAGCTTTGTTAGCTTTAGCTTCCAGCACTGTGTGTTTTAGCTTTAAGAAGTGAA